ATGGATGAACCTGGAAACCAACAGTCTCAGCAAACTGACACAAGAACAGAAAATCAAACACTGCATGTTCTCACTCATAGGCGGGTGGTGAACAATGAGAACACATGGACACAGGGAGGGGAGCATCACACACTGGGGTCTGTTGCAGGGAAATAGGGGAGGGACAGTGGGGGGTGGGGAGTTGGGGAGAGACAGCATGGGGAGAAATGCCAGATATTGGTGTTGGGGAGGAAGGCAGCAAATCACACTGCCATGTGTGTACCTATGCAACAATCTTGCACGTTCTTCACATGTACCCCAAAGCCTAAAATGCAATTTAAAAAAATGCTTTCAAAAAAAAAAAAAAAAAAGAGTCTAAGAAATAAAGTAAACCAAGCAGAATCATATTTTTATTAGTTTAACGCTTAGTTGCCTATCTAATAAATACTGAAGAAAACTGAGGATTACTTTAGAAAATAAATATAATAGACGAAATCTGTCCTGTAATAAGAGACAACTACAATATCGAGTAAATTCAGAAAACACTAGTCATGCTTGATTTCGCAAAAACAAACCTAGTAACATTAGATTCAAAGCTGGAGGAGGGAGTGAAAACTGTCTGAAATTGTAATGAGAATAATCATGGGAAACCCCTAGGCTTCTAGGCCTGGAGGTATAAGAGCTGAAGGAAAAAAAGAGCCATCACTTAATAGGTTTGCAGGAAAAGCAGTGTCCTCAGGAAGAGCCAGGTATCCACTAGAGCTAGAAGATAAAAGGAACATTCAATGAAAAGGTTGTGAATTTAGGGAATTATTATTTTGATTATGACTCCAGAGAAGGCACAATGGAAGGATATCAAGAGAGGCATGGGTGGAAAAGGGGTCAGAAGATAGCAACAGCCTTAAGGAGATTAGATGTGGGAGCTGAAAGGTGATCTAAGAGTCTGGGTGGTTTGAGGGTACCCAATATCAACAAAGATAAATAATGGGAGGAGTCTCAGCAGACTCAAGGCAGACGGCAGTCAGACTGTGAGTGCTAGTGGGTAGGGAAGGGTGAGTGCTTCAGCTTTCCTTTTGGCCTCTACAAATAGGAACAAGGAGATCTCCAGCAAATTCTCACTTTTTAGTCATTTTCATAATTGGCTTTTCTATGACATTTGAAATTATGGCCCAGTATCCTTCTTGAAATCATCTTCCCTTCACATTTTGTTTGTTTCTCCTATTACCTCCCTTATCATTTATTTTCTCCCACTGGCTCCTTTTCTTCCACTAACACTTAATGCTCTATGGTTCAGTCCTGCTTTTCTTTTCACACTACAGATAATCTAATGCCCCCTGGGTGATTTCATCTATAACCACAGCTCTAGTCACTGCCTATATTCAGTTTCACAATGGACCTCCTCATCTAGATAATCTGTGGGTACTTCAATGACAAAAGTATCGAAAAACTAAAGATCTCTCTGCCCAAGCCAATAGTACTGCTATATTCTAGTATGAAATGGGTATGGGATATTTTCTACTCTCAGAATCTGGCTGAAGTGAGGCCCCAAAGCTGAACAAAAAATGAGAAACTCCCCCACATTCTAAAAAGGACATCCGTGCCAGACTTATTAAAAGATGGTATCCCTATCTTCCACCTCCTGTCTATTAAAAAAAGAAAGAAAGACCAGAAATAGAAGAGAATTTGCAAACATGAAGAATGCTAGGGCTTTACATCTCGGTGAGAAAAAAAAAAAAAAAAAAAAAAAAAAAAAAAAACCAAAACGGTGAGAAAAAAAAAAAAAAAAAAAAAAAACCCTCTAAGACAGACTAGGTGACAACTGCAAGGAGAAACTGACATCTGAATCTTTGCTTTTTTGGTTTTGTTTGTTTTTTGAGATAGAGTCTCATTTTGTCACCCAGGCAGGAGTGCAGTGGTACAACCTCAGCTCACTACAATCTCCACCTCCCCGGGTTATGCAATTCTCCTACCTCAGCCTCCCAAGCAGTTGGGAGGTGCCACCGCCCAGCTAATTTTTGTAATTTTAGTAGAGACAGGGTTTCGCCGTGTTGGCCAGGCTGGTCTCTAACTCCTGATCTCAGGTGATCTGCCCACCTCAACCTCTCAAAGTGCTGGGATTACAGGCATGAACCACCACACCCAGCCCTGACATCTGAATCTTGGGCTAGCAACTTATTAAGATAAAGAAACTTAACTGTATCTTGCTCTAACCACCAGAACTAAATGCAGTGAGAGTTCCTGGGATAACCTGACAGGTATCCTCAGGAGTTTATTTAGAGACTATGTGAACACAGAAACTGGTCCCAGCCTGGAAAATTCTGAAAGAAAGAAGATGGCTGCAGCTGTCACAATGATAGGGCAAAGGCTTAGAGGACAGCAGTTAGGCAAGCTGCACTTCTATTATTGGGTCCTAGAGGTTTCCCACTGCCCAAGTAGGTGCCGCAGAAAGGCTAAGACATCTTAATGGGACCCTGCCAAAGCCATTTATCTTCTGGAGTAAAAGCACTCAGCAGTGCCAGGTGTAGACTACAGGATAAAGGGAGGCTGCAAAAGGCAGCTGGAGGGTACATCACACCCCTGACAAGGAACTGGGCAATGTGGACATAACCCAAAGGAGGGGCTCCAAAAAAAACCATCCTGAGTGAACATCTCTCGAAGTCCACATTTGGACACCTGTCACACAGAGGGTACCAGAAGCTGGATTACAATAGACTCAGTCAAACGAAACCTTGTCCTTTCTCCTCTAATCTTCCTTTTGATCAGAAGCCCAAATCAGAAAGGAAGAGGAGGCAGAAGAGTGAAGAAACAGATCATGCTCCTCTTCTCCACTGCAGGTCCCTGAGCCATGGTTAGATCTCACCTGCGAGGTAGATAAACTTTCAACTGAATGTGAGCTTTTGACTGTACATTTCACACCTGTGAATTTTAACCACCAAAACAAGGTTTGTTCTTACAGTTAAATGTGAAACCTTGCCAAGAGGGAAGAAAGGAAGATCTAATATGGCAGGGCTAAAGTCAAGGATGGGAAAAAATAAAGCCAGTTTCTATTTGTATGTCATCAGGTATAAACCATATACCAGTCAAATTGGTCCACAGGGCAGCCATCTACCCTGTTCAAGTCAGAAATACAGGAGTCACCCTAGATTCTCCCCCTAAGATACTGATTTCCAGTCATTATGTCTTAAACCTCTTTCAACACATCTCTCTTCCTCTTTAGCCCATGAGCTACTAGTCTAGTTCAAACATGAAGTATTACAATAATCTCTTAGTGATTCTCTACTTAAGTTTAAATTTAAATCTTAAATTTAAAAGAATAAATTTAACACACAGGCCCCAGCCTAGAGATTCTGATTTAAATGAGGTTGGGTAAGGGCCTGCCATTAGTTTTTTTCTCAAGAGGTCCCCAGTACTAACTGCAGCCAAGGTTGAGAATCACTAACCTAACTGGTCTCTCCTATAATACGGGCTTATCTTCCCCCAAACTATCTCTCGTAATGCTGCCAGAGTCATATATTTCAAAATCCAAATGTCATATTATTTATAGCAGTGGTTTCCAATGTAGGCTACCCATTAAAATCACTTAGGGAGCTTTGTAAAATCCTGATACCATGCCAACTCTGGAGAGCTGAAAACAGAATCTCTGGGGATGAGAACCAGGCATCAGTATTTACTGAAACTCTCCCAGTGATCCCAATAAGCAGATAAGGGCAAGAACCACTGTCCCAGAAGCAATGAGAAGCCACAGAACTCCCATGAAGATAATGAAACTGTCCATCCAATCCTAGCACCCTCGGCTCTCACATTGCAAAAATCAATGAGGCTCCCTGAAAGGCCACACTTTTACACCTTTATGTAAAGTATCACCCCAATCCGGAAAGCCCTTTCTGCTCATCCAGAGCTAAGTCCAACCCGCCTTTAAGGTTAAGATCTTTCAGGAATAAGCTCCTTTGTATAAACCTTCCCTGACAAACACAAAACAGAGTCAATAATCCATCTGTGACCATTACAATTCTGCAGGATAATTTTTAATGTTTCATTGAATTTTTAATGTTTTATTGAACTCCTTGAAATGAAAAATCTTATCTTATTCATGTTTTATCCCCAGTGCCTATCACTATGCATGGCACACAGTTACCCTCAAATTTCTGCCAAATTCATTAAATTTAGGGAAAAAAATTATGCAGGTAAAGTTAACTTTAATAAACTGTATATCATATTTGTACATTATATTCAAGACTCATTAAAAAAGAAACTAATGCCTGGACTTTTAAAAAATCTAAGGCAAATGTTTAATGTTTATTCTATTTATGAACAGTAACAAATCAAAGGAGGCAGGTGCAAAGGGCAGTATGTTTCCAGAGTCACAAGTGTGAAACCTGATAGAATAATAATGCTTAGCTTTCTATCTGAATAATATGTCCTTTAAAACATACCTTTTTCAAAATGTTATGCTGGATAACAACTGCATGTTTTAGGAAAGTAAGTTAGACAACTTTACCTGACAGTAAAACAAGAAAGCATTTGAATGCTTCCAGTAAAATGTACTCAAGCTTTAATAACACTGATAACATGGCCACCAGCATTTGATGGCAATTTTTAGTACTCTGGATCCTGTTAGCAAGCAAAAGCTCAGATCTTCATTTTTTTTAAAGTTACATTTAACATTCCGTATTCATATCGTTAAGTCTATATGTACCTCCCACAAAGACAACAGTTTTGCTAAAATGTTAACTAAAGAAGAACACCTATATTATAGACTTTATTCATAAGATTTTGTTGTAGCCACATTCATATGTGCTATGGAAATCATCTTGACATGCAAAATGATTACTATGTTACTATGTGTTTAAAGTAAGCTTTTTAATCTGTCAGACATCCTTGATTACTAAATTAATCCAGTATTTGCTGAATGCCTATTACTTGCTTGGGAGTGTATTAAAACTGAATTATCTGAAGTGACTAGTAAAAAAATAAACGCATTAACCACAATATTTGGTATTTGTGGCTAATTGATTTTTTACCTTATTTGGCGATTTCAAAGGTGAGATGGCTATTTTATTTGGTGTCTGTGTTGTAGAATTTAAAGTTGATCCAATAACACCACTTTCAGATATTGTTATGGTCTTTGATGGAGTTCCGGGAGTAGACTGTGAAAGAACCCTACCTGCAAATGAGAGGCAGCACATCAGTTTAACTTTTTTCAATCATAGTATAAAAATTTATGTGATGATGCTCTACACCCACAAGGACTGCAGAGTATATGTCTGCTATTTCAGGTTAAACACTTAATGAGGCGCTAATGAACTGCGGTAAACCTAAGCAGAACTAAACAAAACAATGCTTCTTAGTAATACTAATATCATCTTACATAAACTCTACAGAAACAGTTTAGCTCATATCTTCATCAATACTGTTGCTACATCCATCAGAGATAAAGCTCAGGACAACTAAGCAACGTGTCCTCCATAACACAGCTCCTGAAAGTCAGGACATGAATTCAAGTCTTACAACGTCAATCTCTGTATTCTACTATCTATAGCTGTCTTCTCATTTGAACTTAAACCATGAAGGTATAACTGAAATCCACACTTACAAAACAGATAGTTACTGGACTAACTTAAACACTGTCAGGTTTAACGCTGTCTGATTTTAGACTGCCAAACGAGATAAAACGTGTTTCTTCTAGCCACCGTGGCCAGATTCCATACTTCTGGACAAGACACTTCAGGAACAACAACGAAAAACTGTAGTGTCTGGATGCTTGGGGAACTGAGAATCATATTACATTGAGTTGAAATATCAGATATTTTTATCCTAGGCAAGAAAGGACTATAAAGACATAGCAGACCTTCAAATTCTTGAAGAGTGTTTGATAGTCATTATTCCCATTCACTAAGTATTCCAGCTTTCTCCCATTCTGGGCACATGATAGAACTACACTTGTACTTCCTACCACTCCCACCCCATCTTGTAGTTCAGTTAGAGTCATGTTACCACTCCTGGCAGACGAGTTATGAGTAGAAGTGACGCGTGTCATTTTTGGGCCACAGCATTTATTACTGTCTATGCAAGACCTTCCAAAGTTCATTTTCCTCTGCCATCTGAAATGGTGGCTCCTCAGTTAGCCTGTGTGCCTAAGTGACTATGAAGAGAAGATATCTTTTTGAACCCACAATGGTCATACAGATAATCATGAAGTATGAATTTTTTGAAAAACAGGTTTTTTACCCTTCTGAGGTTTGGAGATTGTTTATTTTGGATGAAAAACCAAGATCATCCTAACTAATCCAGGCTGTAAGGTTGAAGGATTAGAACCAATCTGCATCACATTAAATGCAGAGAATCAGAAAACATTTCAGCTCAGCACTAGGAAAGAAAGTCTAACAAAAATTTCCAATTAAAATGACTATTTCAGGACAAGTGAGTTTCTAGTCACTAAAGGTGTCCCAAGCAGACGCTGGATAATCAAATACACTGGCTAAAGAGGAAAATCAAGTATCTAAGAAGTAGAGAAGATGGATAACTAAATTATCTCTAGAATCTGCTCTAACCTTGAGATGCTATGATTAAACTCATAGATCTAACTAGGGATGAAAGCCAGGGAGGGATGAAGGAAAGGGCATGAGAGGGAGGGAAAAAGGGAAAGAGAGAAAGGGACGTTCACTTTACACAAAAATAAAGAACTAATGCTTAGCAGCTTCCAGGACATTTTTCCTGATAACAATGCCAAAGCATGCTTTTTTTTTTTTTTTTTGGAGACAGGGATCTCACTCTGTCACCCAGGGGCTGGAATGCAGTGGCACGATCATCGCTCACTGCAGCCTTGAATTTCTGGGCTCAAAGGATCCTCCCACCTCAGCCTCCTGAGAAGCTGGGACCACAAGCACACGCCACTATGCTCAGCTAATTTAAAAATTTTTTTAGACATGGAGTTTTGCCATGTTGCCCAGGTTGGCACAGTTTCTTTTTTCAAAAGTGAATCAAGTTTTATCCCCATCTATGAATTTTTTAAGTATTTTATTTTATTTATTTATTTTTTTTTTTGAGACAGAGTCTTGCTCTGTTGCCAGGCGCCAGGCTGGAGCGCAGTGGTGCGATCTTGGCTCACTGCAACCTCTGCCTCCCGGGTTCAAGAAATTCTCCTGCCTCAGCCTCTGAGTAAAGTAGCTGGGACTACAGGCACATGCCACCATGCCTGGCTAATTTTTGTATTTTTAGTAGAGACAGGGTTTCACCATGTTGGCCAGGATGGTCTTGATCTCTTGACCTCATGATCTGCCCACCTTGGCCTCCCCCAAAGTGCTGGGATTACAGGCATGAGCCACCTTGCCCGGTGAATTTTTTAAGTATTTTAAATACAATTTTCAAATTTGCTTTTAATATATAATTTTATTGACATTCTGCCAGGTTTTTTAAAAATCTGAATACATCATAACTACATAAATTCAATTCTATATAAACCAAATGAATCTACATCAAATATTTTTAGAGACCTGCCCTGAAGTGTTGAGCTTGCTTAAAGTAACAAGTTTGCCTATTCTGGTTTCCAAAGCTAATACCTGTGGGATAAGTGTGAAGCCCCAACAACCATTATGTTAAGAAAAGAAATTGCTAGTAAAAATACAGTTCATAAAATGTTCATTCTTTATAGCCACTGCTATAATTTCATATTTGTTAGGAATTATATATCTTTCAGACAATATTCATATAGAAAATGCTCAATTCCTGAGGATAACTGATATCAGAAAAAAGCCACTTAATGTTAATTCACTTAAAACAGGAACAAAAATTTCACCATAAATAACAAAACTAAAACTTTTACTTTCTTGTGACCTATATTTTTTTAAAAATTCAGTTTATAATGCAACTATACTAACTCTTAGGATGACCAAAGGAAAAAATCAGCTGTTCAGTTTTAGGGAGAGAGACTGCTTCTGAAAATTTGGACAACAGCACAGTGATAAATTCTGTTGATAATGATAAATGGACACAACATAATCATAAAGCAGGTCATTTCTACCAAAACATTTCTAGATTTAATCAATTTTCCCAAGAACCTTGATAACTTTTGAAATTCAAGTTACTCTTTTTGAGGATCTGCTTGGTTTTCATCCTGATAGCATTTCTGATTATCTCATCTAACCTCCAAATCCCTATTTATCCTTAGCTCCACACATTCAAGAAAGCATGCAAGTTACATAATTTCACCTTGAAATCAATTTCTATCATCAGGTATTCTCCAAGAATGAAAAGAGACATAATCCATAAAGCCACAGATTGGATAGCCTGGGGCAGGAAGCTAAAATACTTACGGCCAAATTCTATAAGAGATTAATTTCACATTGTGATGAAGCTTGCTACCATGAAGCAACCTTGTTCCTTGAGAGCTCTGATAATGAGAACCTCTATACCTCACGTAACCACCTCAAGTCTTGTCAGGTGGTTGGTATCTAGATTTTACTGAAATAAGATGAACAAACTAATGTGTTTACCCAAGATCACAGAGAAAAATCAACAGAAGAGCCATGACTAAAAACCTAAGTTTCTCAATAGTTCCTACTGTAGCACTACAGTGCCTCCATGATATACATATTCATGCAACAATACACATTTACAGAACTACATTGAAGTGCCAAAAATTGTACTAGGTTCTGGGGAGGTGGGGAGAGGGGAGAAAGAGAGAGACACAAGATAAAAGAACCATTAATACAGTATATACATAAATACAATGGAACAAGATTCTGCCTTAAAAAGAAAATTCTGATATATACTATAACACAGATGGACCTTAAGGACATTATGCTAAGTGAAATATACCAATCAAAAAAAAAAAAGGGCAATGGCTGGGCATGGTGGCTCACACCTGTAATGCCAGCTCTTTGGGAGACTGAGGCAGGCAGATCACCTGAGGTCAGGAGTTCAAGACCAGCCTGGCCAACATGGTAAAACCCCATCTCTACTAAAAATTCAAAAATTAGCCAGGCATGGTGGTGCACACTTGTAATCTCAGTTACTTGGGAGGGTGAAGCAGGAGAATTGCTTGAACCCAGGAGGTGGAGGTTGCAGTGAGCCAAGATCACACTACTGCATTCCAGCCTGGGCAATACAAGCGAAACTCCATCTTAAAAAATAATTTAAAAAGGCAAATACTGTATGATTTCACTTGTATGAGGTATGCAGAGTAGTCAAAATCATACAGACAGGCCGGGTACAGTGGCTCTTGCCTGTAATCCCAGCACTTTAGGATGCCGAGGCAGGTGAATCACTTGAGACCAGGAGTTCGAGACCAGCCTTGCCAACATGGTAAAACTTCATCTCTACTAAAAATGCAAAAATTAGCTAGGTGTGATGGTGTGTGCCTGTAATCCCAGCTACTTGGGAGGCTGAGGCAGGAAGACTGCTTGAACCTGCAGAGGTTGCAGTGAGCAAAGACCGTCCCACTGCACTCCAGCCTGGGAGACAGAGTGAGACTCCATCTCAAAAAAAAAAAAAAAAAAGTTAAGACGGTAAACTTTATGTTATGTATATCTTACCACAATTAAAAAAAAATAAATTAATGTTTTGTTTTGTTTTGCTACAGAGTCTCGCTCTGTCACCCAGGCTGGAGTGAAGTGGTGTGATTTTAGCTCACTGCAACCTCCACCTCACGGGTTCTAGCGATTCTCCTGCCTCAGCCTCCCGAGTAGTTGGGATTATGGGCATGTGCCACCACACCCAGCTAATTTTTGTATTGTTAGTGGAGACGGGGTTTCACCATGTTGGTCAGGCTGGTCTCGAACTCCTGACCTCATGATCCACCCACTTCAACCTCCCAAAGTGCTGGGATTACAGGCATAAGCCACCAAGCCCAGCAAAAAATAAATTAATTTTTTAAAAGAACTAGATGATAAACAAAAAAAATCTATCATCAAGAAAAATTATAAGGGTTATAGGGGAGACAGACAAGAAGATCAAGATTTATAATACAGTATGACTAATGGATAACTCAAAGCCAGTGTGAAATTTAACAGAAGTTTAAGGTAAGTACTTGGTAAGCATAACCAAGTTTTATGGAAATACACAGGAAATGATAAGAGAAAGAGTACCTGACTAAACCAAGGAGTCAAAAATTTCCAAGTTGGGTAATCTTAAAAGATAAAACAGATGAGTCGGCCATGAGGAACAGCAAAGAAAGGCATACCACATAAAGGAAACATTGCCCAAGACCCTTACTCCTACAGCTTAGGTTCAATCCATTTGGTGATCTCTTATAATAAGTTAAGTCAGTAGGTTTAGAGCTACTATTTTGGAGGTGAAAATAAAAAAGATATGCATTAGATCATGAACGCCTTTAATGCTAAGAAAGCACTGGCATTTGAAATTAAACCTGATAGGCCCGGTCCAGGTGAAGAAATGAATAAGGCCAAGAAAATTTTAAGCAAGGGTGTGACAGGGTCAGATTTGCATTTTAGAAAAGTCACTTTCCAAAGCAACAATGTCTTGAAAGAAACAAAAACAAAAAAAAAAGAAAAGTCACTTATATACAAATATAAAATTATCATGACTGAAACATAGAAAAAGATAGTCATCTTCAATGAGAAACCCAAAAATCATTAAAAAAAGATCTCAATATACTTTGAAAGAGCATTAGCTGCTATATAAAGACTAGCTGCATGGAAAAAGACTGCAGTCTTAGCTGCAATGCACACATAAAGATGATGGAACCTCCTTGTGATAGAATTCAACAGAAGAGCTACTTTGGTGGTTTAAAATTTAGCATATATGAATTTTTAAGGGTTATCAAGAACTAGTTACAAGTAGAAATTATCCCTCCAAACTGAACTTAATCCCAACAGTGCTAGTAAAATTTAACAGAAGTATATCTCTACGTATTCTGGTAGGGCTACTAAGTCTGTGTGCAATTAAAAGGTAAAGTTACAATTGGTCTGCAACACATTATAAACAACCCAAAGGCCAAGCAGTGACATTTACAACAGTGGTTGACGCCTGTAATCCCAGCACTTTGGGAGGCTGAAGTGGGAGGATCACCTGACGTTGGGAGTTCGAGACCAGCCTGACCAACATGGAGAAACCGTCTATACTAAAAATACAAAATTAGCAGGGTGTGGTGGGGCATGCCTGTAATCCCAGCTACTTGGGAGGCTGAGGCAGAAGAATCACTTGAACCCAGGAAGTGGAGGTTGCGGTGAGCCGAGACTGTGCCATTGCACTCCAGCCTGGGCAACAAAAGTGAAACGGTCTTTTAAAAAAAAAAAATTCATTCAGACACTTCTGCAAACACCACGATTATTTACCATACGATCCATACCTCCACCTTCCCATTAACTAAAAATTTTCAGGGACTCTCTCAAACTCAAAACAGTAAAGAACATCCCCTTAAAACACTCCTGGTTAAGCCCGCCTATCTACACAAAATCTCCAAGAGGATTGGTGTTTTCTTTTTCATCAATACTTCCAAGCCTTGCTCACTTGTAGCTAACTGCAGCCCACTTCCTAAACCAGCTCCAAACCCAAACCCTTTCCAATCTTCTCTGGGGCCACAGCTGCCTCCCATGAAAGCTCTGAAGACAACAGCTTCCTATACTGTCACAAATCTCTACTGAGCACCAAGAGAAAGAGAATAGTCACTCACCTAATACTGCTTTCACATTATAATTTTTCCATCCCTTCTCTCATTAGCTAAAATGAGAAGCCTCTCTACATACAAATCAAAGCCTCAGGAAAATGACAAATCACTGCCATTGACTTCAGAGTTGCCTACTGCTATGTTGTAAATTTATTAGACAGATATTTTAATATATATGCTAGAAATGATCAGTTAATTTTTGAGTACCCTCATCAAGAATACAATGTCAGCCAGGCACGGCGGCTCACACCTGTAATCCCAGCACTGTGGGAGGCCAAGGCAGGCAGATCAATCACGAGGTCAGGAGTTCGAGACCAGCCTGACCAACATGGTAAAACCCTGTCTCTATTAAAAATACAAAACTTAGTCAGGCATTGTGGCATGCACCTATAATCTCAGCTACTCAGGAAGTTGAGGCAGGAGAATCACTTGAACCCGGGAGGCTGCAGTGAGCCGAGATCGCACCACTGCACTCCAGCCTGAGTAACAGAGCAAGACTCCATATAAAAAAAAAAAAAGAAAGAATACACAGTCTAGAGGTGGATAATTAGGATTTGAAAGTCTCTAGTCAAAAGTTTACTATCCAGAGGTGCTTTCATATAAACCTTTAGCACAGTGGAAATTAGAAATGATCCTACAACTAGTGAAAGAGTCATTTAGTATGGCTCTGAATTAAAGACTAATCACTATGACTCTGTGATTTTCTCTAAAAAGCATGAGCTGCTTGCCAAACAAGGAAAAGGAGGGTTGGACTTAGCCAAGCCATTAGAGAAAGAGGGAAAAGAGAATTAATAGTGTTTACAAGAGAGCAATAGCACAGGTCATGGACTTCATCTTGAGGAAGGAAGAATTTGAGGACAGGAAAGGAATGATTATTAAGAAAGTGGAAGAATCAATGGATCAGAAATTTCAAAGTCAATTGCTGAATTAGGAGTAGAAAGGCAAGTAAACTAAAAGAATAAAGAGAATGGAACACTTGAAGTCAAGATTTCTGAGGTGATATAGTGATTGGTGATGACAAACTTTAAAGTATAAAATAAAAGAGAACTGGGCCACATTAAGGAGTGTTCTAGTAAAAGTAATATAGCTGCAATTCTGTTATCACTTAAGTAGTTGCTATCATTGTGACAATTTTCTGTTCACAGAGAATTCCGCAGAGTATACTAAAACACTGAAACAAAAAATTCAAACAGAAACCATGAAATAATATACTCTTATGTATATTAATTTAAATTTATTAAACTTAGCACACGTGCTCCAGAGACAAATTGCCTGGGTTCAAATTCCAGCTCAGTGATTTACTAGCTGGGTGCCTCCATTTCCACACTGGCAAAATGGGTATGTAATTAGTACCTACCTCATAGGATTGCTGGAGAATGATATAGTCACCATATGTATAAGGCTAAGAATGGCGCCTGGCACACAGTGAACACTATATAAATATTAGCTAGTATTATTGGAGTTTGAGACTTTGCTAGTATCATGGTAAATTTCTACCAAAAATTAAGGAGACTGAAGTAATGAACTAATTTTCAGATAAGGCATTTGCTTGAAGCATTGATTTAACAAGTGTAACATTTCTTATAACTAGTCTGGTTTATAATAATAAGCTATACTTGTTACACTAAAACATTTTAAGTTGGCAGAACAGCCTTCTAAAATCTAAAAGGATGATAAAATATAGCTTAATAAACTATAAAGAAATATAACCTGCAATGACTGGTGGTGAAACTTGAGTTGTCTGTCCTGTAACTGCTTTACTATTAATTGGTTTTGCAAAGATCAGCTTCGTGATTACTGGACCAGAGGTTGGCGTTCGAGGCTTCTTAGCAATCTGAAACATATAAATAACTATGAAGACCATCTGTTTCTATAAAATACCTATTAAATAAAAATTATACCAAAGATTCATACATAGTAGTATACGTAAAACTGCTGACTTAACAGAATATATCTACGTGTTAATATTAATGTTAAAAACACTTAAACTGCATACATTCATCAAAATATTAATAGAGTCGCATCCTTAATCCCATATGTAATACTTTTGCATTTCATTACAACTCCTTATTTTTATGTCTTGGATATATGCATATGATGAAAACAAGATTAATAATAATGCTTAATGATAAAAATAAAACCATGGCACAGTAATATTCTTTTTCAAAATAACAAATTTTTCAATAATAAAAAGATAGAGTAAGTAAAAGTATAGTGTAAATGACGAAGCCACCTATATATACAATTACATTGGCCCTTGGATGCAAAATATAAATAAACACACATTAAAGGTAGGCTTGTAACTAGATTTTCAACTTTAGATCTAAATAGCAGGAGTAGATAAAGGGAGAACTGAACAAGTTAAAGCCTTGGGGTACAAAAGAGAAAAATTTGGTAGAACAAAAACTAGTATAAAGGCAACAGCTCTGAAATATTATTTACTAAACTACTACTTACTATACTTTTCTTCTTTTAAAGATGGAGTCTTGGCCAGGCGCAGTGGCTCACGACTGTAATCCCAGCACTTTGGGAGGCTAAGGCAGGTGGATCACTTGAGGTCAGGAGTTCAAGACCACCCTGGCCAACATGGTGAAAGCCCGTCTCTACAAAAATACAAAAATGAGCCGGATGTGGTGGCAAATGCCTGCAATCCTAGCTACTCAGGAGGCTGAGGCAGGAGAATCACTTGAACCTGGGAGGCAGAGGTTGCACGACTACACTCCAGCCTGGGTGACAGAATAAGTGAGACTCTGTCACCAAAAAAAAAAAAAAAAAAAAAAAAAAAAACAAAAACAAAAAAAAAAAAAAAAAAAAAAAAAAAAATGAGGTCTCATCTTATCACTCAGGCTCCAGTGCAATAGTGCAATCATAGTTCACTGCAGCCTCAAACTTCTGGGATACAGCAACTGTTTACTATATTTTAAATTCCTTGAAGATAGACCCTATATTTAATTCCCATCTCCAATCTCAAGTTATATACTGGCACACTGTTGACCTGAATTAAAATTCTCCACAAGTCAAGGAGGGTAGAGTTGCCAATTTTTTATATCACAAATATTACCATGCACAAAGACACAGCTTCTTCTAAAAGTTAAAAGAAGAAATTTACCTAGGATAAAAATCAAAGAATTTTAGAGTGTGAAGAACGTTCTATTAAATATTAATTATATCTTTTGGCAATGAAAATTGAGACCATAAAAGTACTATTTATTATTGGAAATAGTGACTCAAATGAATAAATATGAGCAACTTGAATAACTGAAATACACCGGAAGCTATAATAGATCATAGAACTAGACAAATATTAGCTTTCTGTGCTTGAATTATAAATTAAACTAACACATCTTATACTCACAATATATTACATTTTTATACTCAGAACACATTACTGACAAAATGAACTATATGTAAAATACAAATCACTTTTAAAAAAAGATACCCATTATTGTATTTTAAAACACCCAGCTTGCAAAGCTATGACATAATCAAATAAATCCATCATTATATACTATAGAAAGTTAATGAAATTTAGGGAGATATAAACTTTCCAAATATGTTTAGACCTAAAACCCTAAAGACAATCAAAATTATACCTATATATATAACATTAACAGTCTCAAAAGGTAGAAGTATTGATATTCTTAGAAAGCCATATTAGCAATAAATAACCTTAGCTATATCAATTATGGGCTTAAAGTACTTCCCTATTTTAAACTGATTTTTCACAATCATGAGTATATGAATACTTATCAGTGAGAAAAAAATATAAACAGTATAACCAAAAGCATATTAATTATTCAAATAGACAATCTCATCTTGCCCTTGTGGTTTCTTTAGTGTTGCTGAAAATAATAACTTTTGGTTCCATTAAGGAACTATGATTTTTTTTACACTATGAATTCTAAAGTAACCTGCAACAAAATTATTTTATGAAGTAAAACGAAGCATGAAAGATCACTTTAACAAGTTTATAGAATCAGCAGATTAAGACAAAAATGAAAAAAAAAAAAAAGTACAAATAAGGTAGCCAAATATGTCATCAAATAATAAATACAAGTAATTTTTGGCACTGTGTTGGATAGATTCAGGAGCTAGTAAGGAGTTATGTTGTCCCAGACTGCTAGTTATTTACTACTTTTATATACTATGTACAGGAAACATGGGAAAGTGTTTACATATCTGTTATTACATATAATTATACCTCTGTTACTGCCTCTGGCTTCAAAGGTCACTTCTTTTCTTCATTTTTCAAGATGGCCTCCATCTTCCACCCTTGCCTGCTGTCTATACCCTAATAGTCTCAATACTGATTAAACTTAAGACAACAGTGACAACTACATAGAGGGGGAAAAAAAAAACAGAAGAAAATAATATATTTTCTGTAATACTAAACCAAATATTCTGGTGTCACAAAAGGAAAAATATAGATGCAGAGTTTTTAACTTGTCTTTTGTGCTTCAGAGCTTTGTAGGTTACTTCTGAGTTGGAAAGATGTAAGTCGCCTAAAAATAAGGGACTGAACAAGTAGAACAATATTCTAAATCTAATTATTTATTTATTTTTTTAAATAGAATTTTTTTTATTAAATAGCATCAGGCTTTAGAAAAGTAACAATAGGTCGGGTGCAGTGGCTCGTGCCTGTAATTCCAGCACTTTGAGAGGCCAAAGGTGGGTGAATTGCTTGCGTCCAGGAGTTTGAGACCAGTTTGGGCAACATGGCAAAGCCCCACTCTACAAAAAATACAATTAGCCAGGTGCGATGGCTTGCGTCTGTAGTCCCAGCTACTTGACAGGGAGGTGGGAGGATCACCTGAGCCTGGAAGGTGAAGGCTCCAGTGAGCCAAGATCACGCCACTGCACCCTAGCCTGGGTGACAGCAAGACCCTGTCTCAAAAACAAAACAAAACAAAACAGAAAAATAACAATAAAACAAGTTACAATAATTAGATCCCAGTCTTTGTTTTTAACGTCTTTTTACTTAGGGAATTAAAGTAGAGAACTAATGGATACAAGTACACTGGTCATTTAAATGGTACATATAACTTGCTCTCATAAATGAAAAAAATGATGTTCTAATTTATGTTACCAGTTTCTTTTCTTTTCTTTTTTGATACAGGGTCTTGCTATAGCCCAGGCTGAGATGCAGTGGTGTGACAATAGTTCACAATAGCCTAGACCTCCCTGGCTCTCAAGCAATCCTCTCACCTCAGCCTCCAGAGTACCTGGGACTATAGGTGCGCACCACCATGCTGGGCTAATTTTTTGTACTTTTGGTAAAAACAGAGTTTCACTATGTTGCCCAGACTGGTGTCAAACTCCTGGGCTCACGGAATCTGCCCACCTTGGCCTCCCGAAGTGTTGGGATTATGGGCATGAGCCACCACACCTGGCATCAGTTTCTTTTGAACATAATTATGATCCATATTGCGAAAGTTAAATAAACTGTGGTAAACCAATAAAAGCAAGCTTCAAAACTGAGGACAAGATGCTTGATGGTGATAGGATATCTCATCCGAGAGATTCTTAGCAAAAATAAGAAATAAAAGAAAGTCATAGATAAGTGAGAAATAATAATGAACAAGGAAGAGCACTAACTATTTAACAGTGGCAAAGGGGACAGGGCAAATTATAAGGTTTAAGGAATCATACAAAGTTCTTAAATGCAAAGCCCATGAAAAGTGGTTTCTAATTCTACTGCCAACACAATAACTCCTAACATCAGCTGAGTGTAGTTTCCCAAAAACTTCCCACTTCCTTTACTTTTATGCCTTCTTCTTTCTCAGAGACAATTCTTTCAAACAGAGGATACATTTTTGTTTCCTGGTCATAAATAGACCATTCATTTCTAAGACTAGTGGTGCCTAAGAAAGCCTATTTGGGCATGATAAACTGGAAATCACTTAATATATATTGTAGTAACCTTCTATCTTAGGGTCCTGTTCATACTAGTAGGTACCATTATGAAGCATCCTCAATATTTTGAGAATTATACTATACATTTCATCATGATCAAATAGTATTCTTAAGCTACAGTCAAAAAATCAAAGATAAGTAACCTACAAAAGTTTTCCATAACTGGTAAGATGGCATAGAGGCAAGTCAAATCCAGTTGGTTCAACTCTAAAGCCTATGTGTTATCTTCCATCACATGTCACTGTCTTTTCCATACTACAAACATGGGTAATGGCAGTGAACAGTAATAAAAGGCACACACTGGCTGATGTGGACTATACTGGCTCTGAGGTTTTCTCAGAGCAACAAAGTTCTCCTTGCCCTTGGCCATATGTTAACAGAAAAAATGTTGTCTAAATGATTTTTTGATAGCCCAGCAGCAAGTCTGGCATCTTTATACCAGCAAAACCTCCTTGTAATCAAACTACCACTAAGAATAAAATGCATTTTAAAATGAGTAAAAAGCTATAAATATACTAATTTGGAATTTAACCAAAATAAAGTTTGCTCTCTAAGTTATCTGGTAAAAATTTTCATAAGCATTAGACATATCAAACTTTAAAAAACCCACACAATTATGTAAAACAACATTCAAAAGAATTCAGTAACTATGTATTTAGTAAGCCTATAAACACAACTATGAACCAGTTAAATTTTTTTAACATGCATTTTAATTAGTAAGCCCCCTTTTTTCTTTTACCTGTACTGTTTTTAACTGTTGGGTCTGTAACACAGAGGGCTGAGTTGTAGTATTTATCAGTTGACTTCCTGGGGTCAATGCTGAGACACCAATGACAGGTTTCACCTCTGGCCTCCCTCCAATGGTAACTACTTTAATTTGCTGCGGTGGTAACTTAGCATCTCCTGACTGGACCTGAGTTGTAACTTTCTGAGCCTGGGGTAGTTGGCTATGGGGTAGTGCTAAAACAATTGGTGAACCAGACTTGCCCAAAGTTGTTAAAATTAACTTCTGTCCATCTGGTTTAAGGGTCTGATTGCCAAGTTTAAGATCAGATGTCTGTGATACTTTGTTTAAAATAATCTGATTGGCAGATATAGTCACAGGAGTCTGAGCACCAAGTTTTTGAAGGCCACTTGGAAAAGCTGGTTTCACTGTGGTATTAGAATCTGCTTTAGTAATTGTGGTATTCACTGCAACTTGGTTAGTGTGGTTACTGTACACTGTGATTGGTTCCGTGGAAATGGGCGTGGCTGTAGAGTCACCAGTAGAATTTATGTTGACAATTTCTTCCAGTTCTGTCTCCATGGGAATTGGGGATGAAACAATAACAGCCTCAATACTATCATCATCCACTAAAGTTATACCAGTGTCCATTATTTCCTCTGGAAGCAAACTATTCACCTCAGCTGGCACCACCTCCATGATCGTTCTCCCGCTAGAAAGTTGATCAGGCACTGTAATAAAAGTTGAAAAATGAACAAGTTACTAGGTTTCCAAAGATGTAAGAAAAAAAAATTCAAGAAAAATGCAAATGGCAAAAATAACAATTTTTTAAATTGATATATAATTGAATGAAGACTATTCCTGCTGATGCTTATCTGGGTTAAATCATGTTAACACATCCTCAACCTGCAAGAATCTGTAATATAAGTCACATGGAACACAAAACTAGAAGCAACTATTCTTACTCGTCCTGTCTCAATCCACAAGTATCTTGCACTCAGGCAACACTAAGTCACGTAATCACATGAAACTCCTTTCCAATGCCCTGTAATCTCTGATGTATCTAATCTTTTTTCTTCCCAGTAGTTTTTTTGTTGTTGTTGTTTTTTGTTCTTCCCAATTTGGGTTGTCACCAATTCTTCCCAGTTTTATTTTTTCCTCTCATTGACAGACTTGAAAACTACTGATTCACACAAGTAAAGATTTAAATGTTAATATACTGGAAAATATATTCAAATCTCCAATAAGCTAAGTCCTAATATGAGTGTACAATCTCATTTTTAAAATCCATTATATACCCAAATTAATGTTAAAGGAATTTCTAGAGTAATCCATCTCAGCAATTGCAGATAAAATGGCATTTGTGGCTCATGTTTGATCAATTAGCTTCATACCAAGGAAGCTTTTATTTGGAAAGAAGATTCTCAAACCTTTCTCAATCATTTATTACTTAGTTACCTATTGATTGATTGACTGAGACGGAGCCTAGGCTAGAGTGCAGTGGTATGATCTTGGCTCACTGCAACCTCCGCCTCCCAGCTTCAAGCGATTCTCCAACCTCAGCTTCCTGAGTAGCTGGAATTACAGGCAACCACTACCATGTCCAGCTAATTTTTGTATTTTCAGTAGAGACAGGGTTTTGCCATGTTGGCCAGGCTGGTCTGGAACTCCTGACCTCAGGTGATCAGGCCCGCTGCGGCCTCCCAAACTGTTGGGGTAACAGGCGTGAGCCACCACACTCAGCCATCCTCAGCCATTTGAAGTATCAAAAAGGGAACCATTTAAGAGATGTACAGCCAGTCACCATAAAGAAAAAAAGTAATAATCATAAAGCAGATTATGAAAAACTTCGAGCTGTGGTACTTTTAGCCAAAGGTCTGCAGAACTTCCAACAAAAGAATCAATTCTATTGTCTAGAGAATATCAAAGATCCATAGGAACCTAATCAGCAACTTTCTTCTCTTCCCCTTTTTTTAAAATATAAAAATATACCACCCATTCAAAATTAATAGTAACACATAAGTGGCAAATTTTGACTATTAGCATTATCGAATACCACTACTGCCAAAATAAACCATTGTTATTGAGTGATTACTATACAACAGTGATGACATAATTTATCCTCACAACAACTCAGAGATGGGAATCATCATTATCCCTGTTTTATAGATGAAGCCATTTAGAAAAGTTAATTTGCCTAAGGTCACATAGCTACTGAATGGTTTTTAAGATGCCACAGTTAATAATCTTGGCTAGGCACAGTGGCTCATGCCTGTAATCCCAGCACTTTGGGAGATCAAGGTGGGTGGGTCACCTGAGGTCAGCCTGAGCAACACAGTGAGAATCTGTCTCAAAAAAAAATTTTTTTAAAGATGTCACAGTTAATCTTAAAACCAAAATTATATTGCCTTAGATTTTACCACTGGTGTTTAAAAACAGGGAAAAAATGTCTACTTTTCTAAAAAAAAGTAGGGGAGGAATACATGTACAGAACGTACAGGTTTGTTTTTTCTTTGTAAGAACATGCAGGTTTGTTACATGGGTATACATGTGCCATGGTGGTTTGCTGCACCTAGTGATCCATGCTCTCTGGTTCTCTCCCAACTCCTACCCTCCAACAGGCCATAGTGTGTGTTGTTCCCTTCTCTGTGTCCATGTGTTCTCATTGTTCAACTCCCACTTATGAGTGACAACATATGGTGTTTGCTTTTCTGTTACTGTGTTAGTTTGCTGAGGATGATGGTTTCCAGCTTCATTTATGTCCCTGCAAAGGACATGATCTCATTTGCTTTTATGGCTGCATAGTATTCCACGGTATATACGTACCACATTTTCCTTACCCAGTCTATCTTTAATGGGCATTTGGGTTGGTTTCATGTCTTTGCTATTGTAAACAGTGATACAATAAACATACTTGTGCATGTGTCTCTACAGGACAATGTATATTCCTTAGGGTATATATCCAGTAATGGGATTGCTGAGTCAAATGGTATTTCTGGCTCTAGATCCTGGAAGAATCACCATACTGTCTTCCAAAATAGTTGAACTAATTTATATTCCCACCAACAGTGTAAATGCATTCCTATTTCTCCACAATCTCACCAGCATCTATTGTTTCCTGATTTTTTAATAATCACCATTCTGACTGGTGTGAGATGGTATCTCATTGTGGTTTTGATTTGCATTTCTCTGATATCAATGATTTGAGCTTTTTTTCATGTTTATTGGCCACATAAATGTCTTCTTTGAGAAGTGGGTCTGTTCTGTCACTAAAGATTAGTTTTGTCTTTTTGCTTATTCCAGAACTTCATATAAATCAAATATTATGTATTCATGACATAAAGCAATTATATGAGTTTTTCTCTCAGCATACTTTTGAGATTTATCTTTATCATTTTACTTATTAGTAGCTCTATTCCTTTTTACTGCTGAGTAATATTCCATTGTATAAATCAACCACAATTTCTGTATGCATTCCTTTGTTAATGGACACTTGGACTGTTTCCAGTTTGGAACTATGATGAATAATTCTGCTATAAACTGCTATAAACATTTAGGCTCAAGGTTTTTTTCTGAAAATATGTTTTTCATTTCTTTTGAGTACATACCTAGAAGGAGATCCAACAATTTCTTCTAGGTGAATCACATGGTAAGTTTAATTTTGCATGAAACTGCTAAATTATTTCCCAACTTAATTGAACCGTTTTATACACCCACCAGCAAAGTTTGAGAGTTCCAGCTGCTCCATGGCCTCACCAATAATTGGTGAGGTCAGTCTTTTTTGGTCTTTTTAACTCTAGCATTCTAGTGTATGTGAAGTGGTATCTCATTGTGTGTGTTTTTTTATTTTGAGGCTATTGCTAATTAATCACTGTGTTTTAAATTTGCAATTCCCAGATGATTAATGACTTGAGCCTCTTTTTTTTTGAGACAGGGTTTTGCTTTGTTGCCCAGGCTGGAGTGTAGTGGCTTAATCTCGGCTCATTGCAACCTTCGCCTCCCTGGTTCGAGCAATTCTCCTGCCTCAGTCTCCCTAGGAGCTGGGATTACAGGCGC